CTAGTTTTTTTTATTCTTTTTGCTACGACTATTAAAGCTTAACTAATTTCTTTTAAAATGCAAAAAAATTTACATTAAAAAAAAAATCAATTTTTATGCTTGAGCTTCATCGCGAATTTCTTTTCTCTCTATAAATATCAAGTTAAAGATTTTGATACGTAGTTTAGCTAAACTACTTTTGATTCTAAACTCTATTGATTGCTAGCAATCAATAGAGTAAGTCAATCTTCCAGAAAAACAAGTGAGGTTGGATTTTTATTTTGAATAATATTTGATGATAAGTAGTGGTGGAAAAACGGTATGAGTTACAATACCAGCTTTGGTCGTTAAAGGAGATAAATTCTGTGCCGCGGTGCTCTGTAGTATGGCCGCGGTGCTCTGTAGTATGGCCGTTCTTTCTCAAGGTACCTTAATAATTTAAAAAAAAAATATATAATTGATTACTTTATTTTTTTTAGTTTATAGATTTTATGAATTTTATTTTTCATTCCTTCAAAAAATTATCTTTAAATTAAAAAATATTATTATAACTATTATGATGTCTAATCATTATACTTTGTCTTTTTTTATTATATCTTACGTAGTATCCAATAAAGTGAACTATATAAACTATTGTTAACGTTTATTAAATCTTCTCTAAGATTTTGCCCACCATATTGAATTAGTTTGCTTGATTGTTAGAACTTATGTCTTTGATTGATTTAGCATGTTTATTATTTTAAAATATTTTTTTGTTAACAATTCAACTTCTGTTATATCATTATCGTCAATCTTCTTAGAAATTTTCTGAATAGCGAACAATTTAGTGTTATTTCTTGCTAATTTTTAAGTAATATTCAACAAACGCTTTAGAACTTTTCTCAAAAAGGTCTCATTTTGACAAATGCACTTCTATGCAGTTGTCTGTTGTCTTACTTTCTTGCCAAATTTGATGTACTTTAATGTTTCAATATGACAATTTGTAAAGAAATAGAATTTCAAATTATCGGAAAAACTTTTGCTAATCAAGCAAATCCATACATCATTGATTTTTGGGTAAGAATGGGGTGGAACCAACATGTTTTAGAGAAAGCTGAGTTTAAAATTTTCTTTCAGTGCAACCGAGTTTGTGAAGCTAGACCATATTTAGTAATGTATGTAAAAATAATAGCCGATTTGAAAATGCAGCAGTTCCTCTAATAAACAAACCAACTAGAATTATTCAAACAACAACTTTCTTGATTGATAACATTATAACCAACGATATTTTTAATAACTCGCCTAAAAAAGGCATTATTAAAAGCGACATATCTAATCATTTCCCTATATTCTTTTCGATAGATAATTTTTTTTGCTGATGACACTAATTTATTTATGTGACACAAAAGCATTCCTACTCTATTTCATTACGTGAACATCAAGTTAATCAAAATACCTGACTGGTTTAAGACTAACAAATTATCTCTTAACATTGATAAAACTAAATGGATTCTTCCATCCTCTTATCAAAAAATATAAATTGCCAATTAACATGCCTCATCTTTTTACTGACAGTATACAAATTAAACAAGTAACAGTAACCAAATTTCTAGGTGTTTGTATAGATGAAAATCTTACATGGAAAAATCACAATAAAAGCTTATCAAGTAAAATTTCAAAAAATATAGGAATATTGTACTAAACAAGAAATGTTTTAAATAAACATACTTTAGTACAACTATATTACTCATTTATTCATTGTCACATAAATTATGCAAACATTGGTTGGGGTAGTAAAAATAAAAATAAACTTAAACCTCTTTAATGTCAACAGAAGCATACGGTACGTCTTATATATTTTAAAGACTGTTATACTCATGCCAAGCCTCTGTTATTTGAAATGAAAGTTTTTAATATATATGAGCTTAGTATTTTTAATACTCTTCGTTTTATGTTCAAATGTAAAACCAATTCATCCCCAATTTTTTTCCATTATTTGTATTCATCAAAAGATAAAAATAAATACATTTTACTTAATGATAGTTTTATTAGGCAGCCTATTTTTCAAAAAAATCTTTATGAAATTTGTATTGATTATTGCGGACCATTCTTATTGAATAAAATAGTTTAAAAAAATTTTACTGATGATTTTATTCATCAAACTAACTATTTTTCTTTTAAATTAAAGCTTAAAAAATTCATTTTTACAATCAAAGATTTAACAATATACTTTTGATATTTTTTAGTAATCTTCCTTTTTACCCTCTATTTAAACATGAATTTATAAAAATTATGTATTTATCATTCACTGTAATCTACATATTCAATAGATATAACGCATCTTATATTTATAACGGTTATTTTATTTTACTTATTTTTAATTTTTAATTTTTATTTTTTCGTTTATCTTTAGGTATATATACTCTTAAAGAAAGTTTCTTACTTTGTTAACTTATTATTTATCTTGTAAATATTTAATGAATTTTTACACGAATATATAATATAGCGGTACTTGACAACAAGACTGTATAGTCTTCTACGAGTCTCCGCGTTCTTTTATTTTTAATAACAATCATTATATATGTATATTGTTAGGGTGTTAAATTTTTAGTAAATTTTTGGTATCTCCAGTTTCCAATATAAAAAAAAAAGATGAACTTTGGTTTAATAGTGACTGAAAAGTCATTGGTCTTATTTAATTTTTAAAAAAGGACACCCACCATGACCCTTGATTACACACTGGCTCCCATATATCAGTGATTTTTTTTTTCTTCAAGTATCAACCTAAATCTCTAAACAACCAGAGTTTTCAAAATTCATAATCTTTTCTACTAAAACATTTTTTATAAAAAATATTGCAAACAAAATGTCATAAAAAACGACCTTTTCAATTTTAAGTTAAAAAATGTTGTTTTTTGTATATAAAATTTAGGCAACTCATTTTTATTAAAAACCATTATTATTTCTGAAATCTCTATGAAATTCTGGTTCACTAATATATGGGAGCCAGTGTGTAATCAAGGGTTATGGTGGATTACCTTTTTTAATAATTGAATAAAACCAATAACTTTTAAGTTACTTTCAAATCATAGTTCATGCGTTTTTTATATTGGAAACTGGAGATACTAAAAAGTCAACACCCTAATGTGTTAACCAGTTGTAGAGAAGTAACAAATATTCTGCGTTGGATTTCTGGGAAATGAAAAAAAATCCTTTGTGTTTTATCTATTTTTTTAAATTGTATCAATTAATCTCATTATAAACTTTCAATTATAAGTTTATTATAAGTTTATTATACTTTTTCTATTATAAGTTTATCTGTTAAGCTTATTTTATTTTGTACATAATAACCAAAATCAATTTCTCTAAATTTATCATCGTTGTTTTCCTCAGTTTTACTAGGAAATACAGCGATTTTTTTGGTAAACGTTCCGTAATGACCATTAAATCAGCATCACTTGAATCAGAAGCATTGAGACATTTTCATACTTTTCACTCTTTTCGATTTTTGAAGAAAAATTTAAATTTTTTAAAACATTTTTTTTTTTTGGTCTCCACCGGCAACTTTTTTTCTCTATTGTATTTTATGAACTAAAACACATGCATAAATGTTGTAATTTATGAAGCAATATTAGGTAATCTTGAAAAACTGTCGAACAACACATATTGTGGTACTACAAAAACTCACTAAAGGACGTAAAAAACTCCGCTAAACTTTAAACAATAATTATTATGTACTTAACAACACATATTGTGGTACTACAAAGTTTGCATAATTCCATTCACATTTCCATAGTTTGCATAATTCCATTCACTGTTCAAACGAAAACACGGTTTTCAAGTATTTTATAAGGTTTTTAGTTGTATCAAAAAGATTATAATGTCGTAATTCATAATTTAAAAATTTGACTCTGTGGTTTTACTTTCTATAAAAAATAGTTGTGGCTCAAAGATATTTGAGAAATTACGGATGTAAAAATATCAGAAAAAACTTTAACAGCTTTTTTTGTCTCTTCTTGTTTTATATTATAGTTTATGTGTAATATATATATATATATATATATATATATATATATATATATATATATATATATATATATATATATATATATATATATATATATATATATATATATATATATATATATATATATATATATATATATATATATATATATATATATATATATATATATTACACATAACCTATAATATAAAACAGGAAGATATTAAAAATGGAAAAATCATTTATTTAATAAACAAACTTCTTATTATACAATTAATTCACCTAATTTAAAATGCATGTTTTTGTAAAACTGCGTGCTTTTATTCTGATTTCAATTATATTGATTGCTGATGTAATAAGTAATTTTTGCAATCATTTTTATTGGTTAATTCGTTTATTTGTCGGTAATATTTCCCTGTATCGTGTTCTATTTTATTTATTCTAAAGTTTTTTTAGCTTAAATTTTCATTGGAATGTACCTGTTAAAAATACAGTACCTGTTATGTACCTGTGAATATGGTTTTTATACGTACAATAGTGGACTTTGCTTTTAGATGCTAACCAACATAATCTTTTAATAATGAATGCAAAACACAAAAGTTTGGTAAAAATAATGGTAGCTAGCAGCTGAAAGCCAGCACTTTTTTCAGGGCAAATATTTCATTGTTATCCAGGAAGCACGAAATTAAACGCCACATGGTTTATAAAAAATATTTTAGAACAAAACTATTTTTTGTTAAAGATAAAAATAATTTTTAATAATATCTTGTTCTCATCAGAATATTATAGTTAAGGTGATGTGACATGTCACATGTGAAAAGTCACAGACTTCTTATGGAATATATAAAACTTGTATACAGACATTTTACAAAATATTAATGCAATCTAATGTAAAAAAAAAAAAGAAAAGTTACAACAGATTTACTTTTTGATTTTTTAAACTTTTTTACAAAAAACTAATTTCGATGCCATCCGTATAAAGCCTACTCGTTACTTACTCGTAACTTACTCGTAAAGCTTGTTACTTTTCACTACCTCAAACAAAAGTTCCATCAATCAAAAGAAAATTGTTTCCTTGATGTTCTATTGTTGCTGCATGATGAATTTTGTTTTCTTGTTTAATGATAGTTGATTTACGAGTTGTTCTGCGGCGTATTGCTTTACCAATGTGATTCATCAGCAGAAACTTGGCAGCAATAAATGAAAGCGGGGCTGCAAAAAACGTTATGTACAAAAAATATTTAGCAATCTTTGGCGGACCAAGTGTCCCCAAGGTGCATAACAATGGCCAGAAAGGTACATTTAAAGTTTTGAATATTGTGTACAAGTGTTGTCGTGTGTTGGCTTTAAAGTGATCGAACGCCGCCCACTGATGCATATATTTTTTGTCAGTTAGCAAACCATAAAATAAAATAAATAAGTTTGCTATACTCGACCAAAATACAATCAATGCAGCAAAGCGAATTCCAGTTTTTGTGTCCTCGTTTTCAGTTGAAGCAAACTTTAAAACTGCATTTCCGGCCAACGGACAAAGACAACAAAATGATAGAAATATTTTTTGCAGGTAAAGCATAAGAGTCGTCACTGTTTTGAACAAATGAATTACGGTGTGATTGACGTACCATAAAATTGAAACCATATTAAATGTAGCTAAAAATATTAAAAACCCACTTTTCATATTTTCAAGTACAAAATTGAGTCCTTTTTCATCTACATCTTTTTTTTGTGGAAATTTTTCAACCGTTATATCAAGTATTAAAATACAAGTGATAATAGCGATTGCTGAATCACTCATAACTTCTACGCGTTGTTTAGGCATGTTTCCTTTTGAGTAGTGGAAATAAAATTGATATCTTTCTATCCTCGAAGTTTTATTCATCCTTCTTCGTAAATATAAATAAAGTTTACGAATTGTAGGCATTAGTGTTAGCAGAGCAATAAAAAACCAAGATAGAGAATAGTGTACTAAACAACATACACCACCAAAAACAAGAAAAATAATACTTAAAAAAGGTCTAAGAACCATTATGTTTCGCAGTCTATGAAGTTCTGATTTTGTCCAATTTTTTAAATCTATATGTAATAGTCTTGGTGTTTCCATAGAATAGCAAATAATTGCAATATCTATGATTTGAATAAGTCCTAGCAAACAACACGTGAGTATAATTGATGTTTTTTGGTGAGGGTAATGCCCTTGAAGAGATAATGAAAAAGGGAGAACAGTTGTTGCTAACATTTCTAGTATAACCAATGATAAAATAAAATCATCCACTCGTTTAATTACCATTGTTCGCACGTTAATATTTTCCCAAATAGTCAACACAACTGTAAATCCTAAAAAAAACATTATCAGCTCAGTTCGAATACTATATATAAAGTCAGACAAACTTTCTGTTTTCATTTCATGTAAATTTCGTATAGGAATGACAAGGAATGTTGCACAAGTTGCCATTACAGCGTCCGCATATCCAAGCATACGATCTGTAGATACAACATCGCCTCGATGAAAATATTTGGGAAGAATCTCGTTTAAGTGTTCATCATAGTATTCTTCAAGATGTTTATGTTTACTTTTAGTTCTGAGTACAGATTTGTCTCTCGGAGGTTTATTATCTAGATTCATTTTACTTCACTAAAATTTTATTGAAAACTAAAATAAATAAAAAAAATAAATAAAGCAAAATAAATAAAAATTAAAACAAACGAGTTTGCCAATGAAAGTGCTTCTATATATATATATATATATATATATATATATATATATATATATATATATATATAATATATATATATATATATATATATATATATATATATATATATATATATATATATATATATATATATATATATATATATATATATATATATATATATATATATATATATATATTATATACATATACATATATATACACATGTATATATATACATTATGTTTCCATAAGTTTATTCTTTAATATATATATATATATATATATATATATATATATATATATATATATATATATATATATATATATATATATATATATATATATATATATATATATATATATATATATATATATATATATACTATATATATATATATATCGTTGAACTTAAAGAGTCTGAAAATAGAAGCGATGAAGATCTTGTCAAAGAGTTTTTTGAAGCAATTGAAGAAAACCATGAGGAAATTGTTCACGCTCGTCGTTACAAAAGAAGAAACAAACAACCTAGCAATCTCAAGAATATGAACCAAGATAAACAAGATCCAATTGGTGTAATACAAGTTGTGTTCAAATCGTAAGAAACACAACAAGACGCCCTAGCAAAAGGCAGCTTCCACAAAGAAGAGCAGTGTACACTCGAGATGACCGAACAGCTGCAGAGCAAAAAGCTTTCAATAAACTGTACAACAAAAAGAAGCAAAAGAATGAAAATCTTATGAAAACTAGTCTGAACGAATCCTTTTGATGGAACATCCACATACGGACTGGATCTGTGCGCTTCATTGACACAGTCCAATTTGTCAATAACAAAAAGTGTATTTGGATTAACAAAGAGCAATCAGATCATGTCAAAACAACAGAAACTCTAAATAAAAACTATCCTCAACTCTTTTCCAAAACCATTGTCTTTTCCACTTACTAAAGTACCACTACGCCGACCAAGACCATTGTTGGTTGCCTGTAAATCAAATCAGCCACGCTTAAACCAACTAAATCTTCTGAAATCAAATAAAATTTAAAAAATATATAACAATCCACATAAACAACTTTTTTTCTGGGCAAATAAACCTCGTTCGCTAAATGAAGCCAATAAAGATGAACGCGTTGCAAGAATTGATAATGAGATAATAGAAAAAAAAACCTCAATTGCTTTTTTTCACTGAGACCTGGTTTGATCAAATGTCAGACGCTCAACTGCCCGGTTACCAACTCCATAACAAAAACCAAGGAAGTCAAGGAGGGGGTCTAGCAATCTTCATAAAATGTGATACCCCAGCAAATGAAACAAAAATAAATCAACTTGACTCGACAGATATCAAACAACTATGGAGAGTGATAACGATAGGCAATGAATCTACTTTAATAGGCTGCATAGACCGACCAAACGATAATGATATTAGGGTTCTAGAAAAGTCATCAAATCAATTGATTTAGCAAATTAGGGCTTGTCAATACTAGGCTGTTCGTCTGTCTTAATAATCTCGAAGTTCCATCAATGTCTAAACGAAAACTTTTTTATGCAAATAGTTACTTTCCACACTCACCGCAGAAATAGAAAAGAAAGATCATCACGCACACTAGATTTATTAATCACTGATGAACCTGACCGCATGATAATCTACATGAAGGCAACTCACTTGGTTACACACCAGCTGGGAAAGCCTACTGCCTACTTATTGGCTCATTTGCTATAAACAACGCTTGTATTAAAAAAAACAAAAAAGATTTATCTGGAGCAAGGCTAATTATGAAGCAATCTCAACGCTTATCACATCATATGACTGGGTGACAATTTTCAATTCCTATTCAGTAAATGACAATTATCAGATATTCGTTGAAAACTTTAACAAGGCAGTCACCCTTTATATACCTTCAACTAAAAAATTGTTCAAACAACAAAAACAATCATGGAATACTCCTGAAGTTGAAAAAGCAGTTGAAAAGAAAAAAACCTTTTGGCGCAAATGTCTTGCAGCTGGTCGATTGACTCACATAAAGATCAGCAGTTGTTAAGTATGAAAATGAAATTGCAAATTTTTTTAAAATTGATCCAAAACGGCTTCATAACCAAGTCAAGCAGAAACAAATAGTGAATGAAATGGTGAAGTCATTTGAAGACAATGAAAATCTTACAACTCATAGTCATAAAATTTATCATTTACTTAACGTATATTTTCAGTCTGTATTTGTTGTTGAACCGTTAGATCAAATGCCAACATTTCAGAACAAAACAGAAACGGAATGTGTCCTGGATGAAGCAGAACTAATAAATATATCTGTTCAGAAGAAGCTGGAAGAGCTCATCGAAACAAAGTCAAAAGGCTGCAATAACATACACCCGCGTGTTCTTCGATACTGTGCTGCTGCAAAATCGCTTGGCAAAGTCCCTAACTTTTGGAAGTTATTAAACGTTACTCCTATTTTTAAAAATGAAATTTGTAGAAAATGTTTGAACTACAGACCAGTTTCTCTTACATCGGTACCCTGTAAAATAATGGAAAGTTTTATACACAAAAGAATCCTGAAACATTGTCTTGAAAAAGAGCTCTTTACAAAATCTCAACATGAATTTCTTCCAAGAAGCGGCTGTACAACCAACCTTTTAGAGGCACAGGATATTTTAACAAAAGCACTATTTCATAATCATGCCATAGCTGTGATTTACACAGACTTTGCTAAAGCTTTTGATAAAGTACCTCACCAATGTCTTCTTTTAAAACTTGATGTATACGGCATACATATAACACTACTGTAGTGGATAACTGAATGGTTAAAAAATTGAAAACAGAGGTGGTCATCAGCAATAGCAAGTCTGAATGGGTAGATGTTACTAGTGGTGTTCCACAAGGTTCAGTGTTAGGTCCACTTTTGTTTCTGATTTATATAAAAGACCTTCCAGACAACATGGTGCATCATATAAAGATCTACGCAGATGATTGTAAGATTGTAGGGGTAATAAAGCAGAAGATGATGCAATAAAACTACAACAAGATATAGATCATGCAGTCGAATGGTCTAAAAAGTGGCTCAACTGGAATGGGCTACCAGCAAATGTAGTCAATGCAAGTTCTACAAACATTTTTAAAAAAAAGATTTTGATTTGATGTATTTTCAAAGCTAACCAGGATACACTGTGCGTCCCAAACTATATCATAGTGGTGTCTGATGCTGCACCACTTCATCAAAGTTTACAATTCAAACTTTATTCTTTTATGATGTGTTTTTTTTTTTAAATGGCTAGTAAATTTTTGATTTATGAATAAACAAATTCAAATTCATATTTATATATGCATATATATATATATATATATATATATATATATATATATATATATATATATATATACAGTGGCGCTGCTAAGGAGTGCGGGGGTACGGGCCGGGTGACACGTACACAGTGACTGCACCGGGTGACATCAATTTTTGTGAGAGAAACAAGTTGTTAATAGTCAGTAGTCACGATTGGAAATTTTTCATTTTGGTGTCACCTTTAGCTCTGTCTTATTCTAAAGATTACCATAAGCGCATTAAGCGATAATCGGAATCGGATTATGTATATGGTCTCGTACAGGGAAACTCTAAAGAGATCCATGGTGAAAGTCTAGGGGGGTGACACCCTGAGTACACCGCACTGGGTGACACCAATATATATATATATATATATATATATATATATATATATATATATATATATATATATATATATATATATATATATATATATATATATATACTATAATTAAGCCTTTATTATGAGTAGTAGGTCGTTTTTTTAAAATTGAAGTAGTTTAAAATAACAAATAAATATTTTGCTCGATTTTAATAAAAACTTGTATAAAATAAAAAGCTTGTGGTATAAAATTTTAAACAGGATGTTAGTTTTTTTTAATCACGATTTTTTTAATCACATTATATCTTATCACATTTATTTCCTTCACAAAAATTATTACATAGAAACACATGCAACACATTACATACATAAAAAATAATAATAAAAAGTGGTTTAAATCAGAACAGAAACACATTCTCCATTTATTTATTGACCCAAAACAACCAAAACAATGCATAAACAACTAAAGACCCAAATTAAATATTCTAACTCGGGTGTTTGATTGCTGACATTCTATGTCTGTAAAAATAGCTATTTTGAATATAAAAATATCGAACCCTTATTGTAACAATACTTTATAAGGTTTATTTAATAAAAGGAGCGAATCATAAATTTAATCTTTAATCTCCTTTTATTTTTTTCTCCTTTTTTTTCCTTTCCTTTTTAAAGTACTGTATTCTTTACCTCCATATGAAAAGCTTATACCTTACATCCGAAATAGAAGGTATTTATAGTTGCATAGTTGCTGAATTGTTTTACTTTCATGGTAATCAACTTTATTTTTTTTTTTAAGGTGCGTACAGTTTATTTAACTAAATTTCAATGTTTACTTACATTTTGACAGTGTATTTTAACAACCTATGTATCTAACAACAAGCAATATGTTACTTTTACGGTAAATAACTTTGATTTTTTTAGGTATTTACAGTTTACTCAACTAAATTTCAATGTTTACTTACTTTTTGATATAGTTATTTTTATTAAACTATGTATCTAACAACAACATTTGTAAACTTTTAACAAGGTTTTTATCTTTATAACACTTTTTGTATTCAAAAGCTGGGTGTTAAAGGTTGATATTACAACTCGATGAGCTTCTTGTTTTATTTCTCTAAGTTTTTATTTTTATAAAATCCATGAAATCCATTAAATCCTCTCAAGGTTATTTATATACTATACTATATAAAGAAATGAAAATGTGTTAAATATATTTGAATTAGATTTTGATTCTATTAATTAAAAAGAAAATGAATAATTAAAAAAAGGGATTAACGAATTTTATAGTAAACTTTAAAAATTAAACAATTGAAATTTAAAAAAAATAATTTTGCGTATTCTTAAGTAATTTTTGTAATTCGTTCACAATAAAATAACTTCATTAGGTTCTTTTTTAAGAGACTTGACGCCAGCATTACGCAATATTACACATTTTAAAGTCATATGCTATGTCCGCTTTTTTAGCTGCATGTAGTCTTAAAAACCTTCCAGTTAAAATGTCCAAATATTTGCTTTTATTGATTTTAAAAAATACATATTAAATAACTTCTTTTTTAATACAAATATTTTATTAAAATATAAATGTAGTGTTATATGCAAAAAATTTATTTATTCAATATTTTATAAATAAATTATATCCTATATAAAACATAAACAAATTAATTTCATATTTATTAAAATACAAATATTTTAAATATATGAAAAAAAAAAAAAAACTTCATATTTCATTTTCATATTTATCATAATTATATTTATAATTTCATTTTTATTTAAACAGACTTATTTCATATAGAGTTACTTTTATATTTACTAGAAGGGGAGTGGTGTGGGTACGGGGGTAAAACATAATTTATTTTATTAGTAATAAAAAGTATACTGGTTATTTAAAAAGGCATTAAGAATAAAAGCAATTTGCCAAAATTGCCACAAAAAAAATCATATGTTGAAATGTTTATAAACATGAGACATTTTTGTTTTATATGTTAAAATGGGAATATATGTTAAAATGGGAATATATGTTAAAATGGGAATATATGTTAAAATGGGAAAGATAAATGGGTCTTATTCAGATTTAAAAAATGAAATAACTCTCCACCTGCGTGAAAGAAAATAACTTAACTTTCCACCTGCGTGAAAGAAAATTTAACTTTCTACTCTTTTTCATAAAAAAATTAAATAACTTAACTCTCCACCTGCGTGAAAGAAAGTTTAACTCTGTACTCTTTTTCATAAAAAAGGATAAAACTCTGACTTAATGTAAATTATAAAAAATAACTAAGAAGGAACTCTTATAGATAAAGTTCACGGTTTTCCCACGTAATCTATTTACAATTGAAAATTAAAATTATTAGATTTGTCCACGCGTCACTACATCAAGTCTAAAATAAAATATTTCTGATTAGTCTACTTCAAATATCAGTTAATCAAGTAAATTAATGGTAACAAGTGTATCGAGTCTTTTTGTATTTGTTTGCGTTAAAGGGTCATTTAGAGTAGAGTTGAACTTTTACTGTAAAAACGGTAAGTGCGCGAAAAACATTGATGTACCATGCATTACTTACACTGTAATACACTAACAGAATTTTCTTCTTTTTACCGTTTTTAACCTTATTTTAGGTGGAAAGTTCGACCATAATTAGTGTAACAGTGCGTAACATTTACAGTACATCGATGTTTTTTGTGTATTAACAGTTTTTAGCGAAAAAGCTCAACCCTAGTTCAGAATCAAATGCAAAAGGTATATTGGATTATTAGAAAATAAATATTTTTAAATTTAAGATACAAAATTATTCGTTTTAAGTTAATAACATTATTAAAACGTTACTAACTTTTACTTAAAGAATTAGTTAAAAAAGCGAGTCCTGAAATTGAACTAATCATGAAAAAATGGCTATAAATTTAATAATTTTTTTTTTTTATATTTAATGTTTTTATTTTTTATCTAATGTTACAATTTGTGTTAAAAAGTATGTATATTATGAAAATGAGTTTTGGTGATATTATTTATTATTAGACTTTCTTGTATTTTTTTATAAATAATGAAAAAAGTCATTATAAAACTTAACCAAAACTAACTGATGTATTCATCTGTGCCCCAGGCAACAAACCGTCATTTTAGATACAATCAAAAGATTTTTCTGACCCTTGACCCTTCTTATTTATTTGTTATTATGTTTTTATAGTCAACAGGTGATGAGATCTGTTGCAAGAACATGCCTCTGAAAAAACACGTCAGTGCAGATCTTGAGCTCCCAAAACGTCATTGGTGATTATAATTCATTATTGAAAGTGACGTATCGCCATATATTTTTGGTAAAAACGTTTCTTATTTTTACTTACCTCCATTTTAAGCTCTTTCAACTTCAAGCAGTAGAGGGAAGTAAGGAGAAGTGGGACCCAGGAGAAGTAGGACAGCCAAATAAGGATCAGTCTTTAATTATTGTTATTTAATGAAAACAAATAGATTTTTGCCTTATTTTTAGCTGATATCATTTTGTCTCCTTACGTGTTTTAAAATCCGCATTTTTTTTGAATGTAAAAAGGTATTTTTGGTCACTGCCAACTAACTTATGTAAGTGACTAATATAAGTAAGTAAATAATGTAAGTTACTGCATATAATTGACTTTCGTTATTTTGTTTATTTTATTAGGAAATACGTTTATCATGAAACATTTTAGTGCTTAAATTTACATTTTAACTTTAATTGTTTGATTTTAGTTTTATTGCGTCTGCCCTACCTAGAGATGAAGATAGAAAAAGAAAAAAGTTGTTGTTTTCTTCTCCTAATCAATTTTGCGTAATTTTATTATGGAAAACTTCAGAACATTTTGATGTGATTACATGGTTACAACTTTTTATAGTTTTTAACAAAAAAATTTGTTAATTTCTTTAAGCGGTTTTTAATAATAGTTTTAGTAGATTTTTAAACAGTTGAAATAAAATTTAAAAAAATAAAACTTTTATTAAACAAAGAAAATTTAGTTTATTGAAAAGAAAAAGGATCTTAATTTATTATTATTGTTTTAAGCAAAAAAAAAAAAAAAAAAACATCATGGATTTTATGTAGCTGTCTCTGAATTTCATATTTTTTGATTTAAAGTAATGATTCAGCTAGATGCCAAAGCATGCTATAATCATTATTCTAAAA